GAAGAAAACATTGGATAAATACCGACTAAACACATATAAATAAGAATGAAAGAAAAACAACTAAATATAAATGTGATATTTTTTCTCTTCTTATTTTTCCTCTTAAAAATTATCTTCACAAGCCATTTTTTTTATTTCGTCCTTATTTGTGTGATGTAAAGTGGCTTCATATGATGACTTGATGTATCTATATTTTCTTTCTATTCTTCACAAAACTTCGACGCAGAAAGGCAAAGAAAGAAAAAGAATGTATAAACATTGAATCATTATTTGTTTCATTCATATATGCTTGTGTTTTCGAAGCACATGCTCGTAATGCGAAAAGAAAAAAACAATTAGTTGAGTTAGAATATTCTATATGAGAATGCATTGACAAATAAGAAAAAAAACGAACAAAAGATCAAATCATATAACAGAAATAAACTGATAAAATTATTTAATCCATTAAAATTTTATTAGATTATTTTCTTGATTTTCTGATCAACCATCAGCATGAATGAAGATGAATCCAATCGAACTTCATCTCAGATTCTAATTTCAGATATCAATCATAATTGCGAACACTTTGTTAAATCAAAGGAGACAAGCTTTATAGAGTTTGAAAGGGTGTGGGTGTGGGTGTGTAAGCATAAGGATTAAAAAGACACCCAAATTCTGACAAAAAAAACATAATCTATTCGATCGAATGATACACTGTTTGAACCTTCCTTAAATGAGATTAAGCAAAATTCGAAGAAACTTTTGTTTGAACACAACCACTTGACAGTATTCACGACGAAGACGTGACTGTAGAGTCTAGCGTGAAAGTGTGGATAGCATAATCATTCCGGAACCACACTGACAACCACATCATCGGTGAGTTCACCACTCATAACAAACATACATATAGAGATTATTTGTAAAACAAGATTGTTTTGTTACTATATTAATCTTATGCCTGGAGCAGTATCGAAAAATGAGAGTTTATTCTTTTTTTTTTTGATCAGTATTAGATCAGTCTACTCAAGAATTTTAATAAAATATATATATGGCATTCTTAGATCACTGGGTGGAATGAATGTTTATTAATGGAAAATAGCAAAGGCATAGAGAGAAAATAGAAAGCTAGGTGCACAAAGAGGAAAAGGAACCACAGAGGGTGTGGGTGTCGGTGTCTACTGAGCAAGGAGATGCCCACGTCTGCACCCAGTCGAATCGAATAAGTAACCATCGATTTTCGTTAAACTACAGTGTCATCTGTGTTTTAGACATACTTCATATGTAATTCCCTTAGCTAAGAGTAAAGGACATTTTTATACAGCGGACTAATTCTAAAAAGACATTTTAATCAAGGACATTTTCAAAAGGACATTTATGCCATGAATCGAGAGGGCCGTAACAGTTGACTTCCCTTCTGAAGAAATATGTGTCTGCACGCATAAGAAGAATAAAAGAAAATATAGTATGTTTCAAATAGAGACTACGGCAAATAACAAGAAAAACTAATATATCTATATATATTTATCGCAATAGATCTACTTCACACTTTACAAAAACAAAGAAAATGGCAGAAGAAGAAAATAAAAATAAAAATATTCTTTTTTTGTTTTTTTCTATTTGGAACAGATCTTCTTTCGAATTTGATAATAATGTTCTCTTGTGAATAATCCATTGTGTAACATTCCATCAACTTCTTTTCGTATTTATTCATTTTTCACACCTATGAACAACGTGTTGCCAACGATATTGACATTCACATAATAAATATTCATGAATATTAATATTTTCCTAATATTTGTGTTGGTCAATTTATGATAAACGTCTCGGATTATTTCAGAACGATATCTATTTGCTCGGTTCTTCCTATCTTTCTGTTGGTTTCTTGTTAATGGTTTTTATTGTTGTTACCGAAATGAATTGGTCGTTGTATATTGTTTTATATCATTGTTATCACTTATCATTTCATAAAGTTCATCTCGTACATGTACCCCTGTTAATGAATTTTGTGTTGGCTCACTAGATATATTATTATTATCATTACATGTTAAATTTTCCGTAGATGCATAAATTTCCCCGTAATTACTAATTTTGTAACACGAAGACAATCGTTCAATGCATAGTTAATTAGTAATTTTCTTATTTCTTCTTCATCTTCGATAACTTTTTCTTTCATAAATATAAATTGATTATGTACAGTTATTGTATTTAATTTTAAGTCAAGACTTCAACCAAAGTTTTCAAGTGTAAAACGTTCATTTAACCATTCATTGAATGTATTGAATATGGCAAATTGAAGAGAATAAGTTTCATTTGATTTAAGTTTAATATCTGGTGACGTTGGATAGGTTGTATTGTAATAATTCTTAAATTCATCTTGTATGTTTCGATTATTAACATGATTAACATCATTTTTATCGAATAAATTATATTGATAAAAGTCTTTAATTTCGTTTTCAATGCCTTCCATGTATACATTGTGTCTCATCGAAAAAATAGTTTTTATCAATGTTGGGTCATTTTGTTTAGGTAAATACATACATTCGATAAGTAATAAAATTGGTGAATTATCTTCATAAACATATTCCATTTGTATTAATGCTGATATTGATAGTCTTCTTGATATTAGTTGATCTTCAGTATCCATTATATAAATTTTAACCATCTTTGCATAATCAATTAAATCGTTGAATATATCCACGGGCGTATTTTTGTGAATATGATAATACTTATATTCTCTTTCTCGTAGAGAAGAGTCCAGCAGAAATAAATTGTTTGCTTGATTGCTTGCTTGATTGCTTGTGTGTCCGCACGGTCAAAAAAACATTCAAATTTAATTTTTCAGATACTTCCGAAGAACTTTGACGGGAGGAGGGGGGTAATCGAGGGCGGGGAACTTAAATCTGAGGTTAGTTTATTAAAATTAACAAATTAATAATTAGTTAATAATCAGTTAATAATTAGTATTATTATATATTCGAGTAAAGTTCCACCGAAGGGTAATCGAGTGTGGAGAATCCGAATCTGAGTCTATTTTTAGTTAACAATCAATTAATAATTAGTTAATAATTAATATTATTAATTTTTGAAATATTTTCAGAAAAGTTGGACCAAAGGGTAATTGAGTATGTAGAACTCGAACCTGAGATTGATTTATTAAAATTAATTAGTTAAAAATCAGTTAATAATTGATATTATTAATTTTTGAAAAAAGTTTAACCGAAGGGTAATTGAGTGCCAAGAATTCGAATGTGAGGGTAGTTTTAGTTAAAAACCAATTAATAATTAATTAATATTATTAATCTTAAAGATAGTTCCAAGAAAGTTTTACCAGAGGGTAATTCGAGAATCGATTTTTTAGAAAAGACATTTTTGGAGCATTTCGATGCGGAGACTTCGAGTCTGATGTTAGCTTTATAAAATGATTTTATACATCGCTTTTTTAGGCAGAGAACCAACATTTATAAAAAAAAAAATTTCATAAGGAATGACCGAAGGGTAAGTAGGGTGGAAGAACACAAATCTGGTGTCAATTTTTCCAAACTGTATAAGGAAAAAGTTTAGTATTGTAGAATACGATTTCTACGAGAAAGAGCTGAGCGAGTCCGTAGACGAGCGTTACTTGTGAAGATAATAGTCGAAGAGTATCACATGTATCTTGTTCATAAAGTTCTTTCAATCGATTTCCTTTTTGTACTCGTTTGGGCTGCCAATTTTTTGTTCGTTCATCTAATTTCTCTAACGATGAAATGTTTTTTTTATCGATCTTAATGATGTGATGGCGAGTTTGTATTTGTTGATGTTGCACTGTTAAGGGAGAATCACCTTGATATTCTTCTTTGGTTTCTTTCTTTTCTTTTTCTCTTGTTGTATTTATTGATGCTACACTATTAGGAGAGAATCGCCTTGATATTCTTCTCTGATTTCTTTCTTTCTATCTATCTGTCTTTTTTTTCTTTTTCGCTTGTTGCCTTTGTTTCTCTTTGTACTAAATATATACGTATATCATAATCATTAATTTTTTTATTAAGGTCAAGAATTTAAATATATTTACAATTAAACCAAACGAAAAACAAAGAAAATAAAAGGAAAAATCGTCAGATTTATACATAATAAAAATTGTGGTTTCATTAAAATGTAATTTTTTTATTTGAAAAAACTAAAATGAAAGATATCTTTTTTCATAAATCAAATATTGTGAAGAGCAATTGGAAACCAAAGATCAAGGAAGATGATAAATGAACTTTTGAAATTACATTAAAAAAATCAAACATTAAGTATAAATTCAAAAATCACTTTTAAAAATTCAGATGATAATATATAAATGTTGTATTACATGTATAGAATTTTTAAAATAATAGAAAATAAATTTCATATTCAGTTACTTTTCGAATGCAATCTTGGTCAAAATATTAAAGAATTAATGTCGATTTTCAATTACAAACACCATTAAATGAAATCTTATTTATTAAAGATTCATTAATGAGTATAGAATAGTATTCAATTAAAGTTTCAATAATAGATATTCGTCCATTAGAAAATTTTGATAACTAAGGGACAATTCGAACATATACTTTTGTTTTCATTGGAGATGAAACGGGTACTATTTATTTAGTAGTTATTGATTTACCACCTGAAACATTAAAAGTTTTAATGGAACATTTATATTATCGACCACCATTGAAACACACATGTCATTATCAAATTCGGTGAGTTTAATAGACTCTTTTGATCCATTATAAAAATTAACTAAACTATTTGTTTTGACAATTATTCCTGATATAAATGATATAATTACAACAATGAACATCGATTTAATTGATGTAAAAACAATTACAACGACTGTCAAGTTGTTCAACATGCATGTCTGAATTAAACGAGGCTATTGATGCTGCTTCCCTTTTATCTTGCGATACTTGTCATCGACATGTGTTGAAAAAAATGTAATTCAACATGTTTCTACTTCAATAGTTTTAAAAACAGGTTATTTCATATGTTTTGCCATATAATAATTTAATTATTTCATTTTACTATTTATAGAACAAGGAAATGTTATCTTATTTGTAAACGATAAAATGTTTCACAAATTAATTCATTGGATTGGTCTTAATATCAACATGATCAACACCGACATATCCGTAGGAATAATGTCACATGGTAATATGAATTTTCAATATAGTGAATTACGTAAAAGATTACTTGCTATTTCAAAACCATAATATAATAAAACATTAAATTACCATTTAAATAGTTCGTATATCAACTTTATATCATAATACATGTGATCATTCTAGTTCAAGCAACAATAATTACATACACAAACTTACAAAAAAATAATCGAACATTTATACCAACGTATCAAAATATCAAAATTTTGTTTTTAATGTTTGTTTATAAGAATAAAAATGATAACTGATATGATAATAATCAAAATTATTATCTCTAAATTTGGTTTCATCTCTTTCTTTAATAAATTCAAAATACATCATTCATAGAACAACCGTCTTTTCTCCTTTTTTAAATTTCTTTCAACATCTCCACCAAAAAATAAATATCTTCTAGATTATCAAAAAAAATGGATCGTCAGTGTTCTTTTAATATATGATAGTTTGAATTCTCGATTTCGATAATCGGGTATGTTGCGAATTTTGTGAAAATCTCAAAGTTGTTCAAGATCCTGACAATCTGCAATATGTATGCTAAATTCAAAAATTGAAAGAGTGTTTGTAATTCATTTTGTTCAACAAAAAGAATAACAGAAAGGGAAGACGTCATCAACTCTGTTGTTATTTCTACAGTATGGTTACATTTATTATCATCATTTTTTTCAAACATACAGTTGTTCGTAAACACTGCAGTTTTCATTATTCTGATTATAACAAACTATTTGTTTCCATCGTTTTTTTAGAAAAAAAAATTAAATTTCTTTTGAAATAATCATTTTTAGTGCGTTAATTCATTTAATATAGAATTGTAAAAGTAAGAAAGAGAGAAATAGAAGGTAACATCATATTGAATTAATATATTTCATTGGAAGAAGACTCTATATCAACTGTCTTCCACGATTTAAACCTGGCCAGTCGACATCAGAGAAAACGGTAGCCATTTTCTAGCAAAAAAAACAGCTACTTTTTCGGGATGATGAATTATGGTAAAATACGTTGATAATTAATGCAGTAATTCACTGTTTTATAATCGTTTCAGGTTGCTTAAGACGCCGTTTCCGATGTTCGAAATGATCGTCATGGTATGGTTTAGCTTCGAAAGAGAAGCATCAACTGATTAAAATATATATTCGAAATGGTATCGAATGTGGGGATCAGCTGCGAATTGATTTTCATATGACTGATTTTGTTATTTATCCCACAACAATTCAACCATGTACATTATATAGTGCTGATTATAAAGAATGCCAGCTAAGTTATAGAGTTGCATCGATTTATTGTTACTCCCGAAGCACTTGAAAAAAGTTATTATTTTCATTTATCTTCAGGTAAATTAGTGTATTTTCGTGAGCTGCTTGTTACATTTTCTTCTGATCTTGTTAATGGTCACATCTTTATTATCAAAAATAGCACGTCTTCATCCACAACTTTATAAAAGATTTGATTCTGTGCAAATGACGCGATCTTTAGAAGCACATTGAATTTATTTTGAACTATCTAGTTTAATTCTTATGACAAGTTTAAAAAAACAAATTGTTGTACCACATAGTGTTTTCCAGAGAGCGAAACGAGGCAATATTTTATGAACTCGGGTTTTTTTTAGATGATATAGACACTAATTCTCAGAATATCGTCTTTATTAAAAACTTAATCTAGTTTTGTGATATCTGCAATGTGTGTGCATTAGATTTTTGATTAATTTATTTGATAGTTTTATTTTCTAATAAACCAACAAGAAATATCAATAACAGTAAAAACAAAAGTTAGTAAAGAATGTTTTAGACAGTTGGCATCTTTATTCTATTATTTTCAATTGATCGTAAAAATAATATATTATTGACTATTGATAGTTCGATTGTAGATCATCGTTGTGGCACAATCTGTCCTGCAGCACTAAATTCTCGTTCCACTACTGTGGAACTACATAGAAAAATAGATTCGTTTTCTTTTCAAAATGAAATGGATCAAGAAATGCTGTGCACTGAACATCGAACTCGATATATCTATCAACTTCCAGAATATATAATTAGACCTATAGTTGATGCATTTCGATCTTTTACGGTATTAGTAATCGAAGAAATAGTATGGAACAGTCATCAGATCTTTCATCACATCCATTTTTGGTGCGACATCTTTCTTTTTATTCTTTAATTTATATATTGACTCAGTATTATTGAGTCATATAGAAACCTTTTGAGTCAGAGGAGAAAGGAAAAAATAGAACATGCTTACGTATGCAGTTATTGCATAAAAACTATAAGGATTGTGTATCTTGTTGTGTCATGCTTGTGAATCATTAGTAGTACTATATGCAAGCCACTGTGATTGTGAAGATGAGTTAAACTTATGAGATTGTTTTTTGTTAGAAGGACAAACTGAATTTCTACTGATTATCTATAGAAAACATACGGAAAACTCATTTACAATTTTGTTTCTTTATTTGCTTTTTTTTCTAGAAAAAGACGTTATTATCAAATTCAAGATTTATTTTACATGGCTCGTCGTGAATTATGTAGTTTTCGATGGAATGGTACAGAATGGACAACTATTACTACATATTCGAATAGTGAATTCGATTCAAAATCATCTAGCATAAATCATCAGAATACAATGCCAGCAGTTAATGAACCTATTCGTGTAGCTACATTGAATATACTTGCAGATTGTTTTCCATGGTTTATAGAAATGGCAGTACGAAGTACTGAAAGATATGAATGGTTATGTGAAGGTATTGTTAATCTTAATCCAACTATAATTGGTTTAAATGAAGTTACTACTAATGCACTTCAAAAATTACAAGAATGTTCATTTATTCGAGACAATTATTTTATTACAGAATCATTTGATGAGAACAATATCGAAATGAAAAATTGTACTAATGGTTTACTTACTCATCATGGATCTATCATTTTAAGTAAATTACCATTGTTAGAAGTATTTGCTATCCCTATTTCTGGCAGTAAACGTGAAGCCGTTGTTGGAAAAGTTGAACTTGATAATAATTTAAAAACTTCTGTTTATTTTTGCGCTGCTCATACTACACATCATCGAAAACCGAAGAATATTGAATTGCGGACGCAACAGATACGTGGTATCGTTGAGATATTAGAACCACTGAAACTTCCATTTGTTATTATGGGTGATCTCAATCTTTATTATCAATTTGAAGATGCGATAGTTATTGAAAATAAATTCATTGATGCATGGGCACAAACACATTTCTCTGATATTTATCCATTCAATGATAAAAATGAAGGTTATACATTTGATGCAATCAAAAATACAATGATTCCTTATTATAGTCCTGGAGAAATAAAACAAATGCGACTCGATCGAATTTTATTTTCAAATGGATTTCCTGCATTTGCCATAGCACCTTGTGGTATGTGGGCAAATGAACCTATTAAATCGGATAATTATCTCTTTCCAAGTGATCATTTTGGCCTATTTATTGATCTTGTTACTAATGTAACAGATATCAATAAATCAACAATATCAGTTGGTGAACCTGATCCATCTGTTGAAGAGATTCTACGTCGTAATGCTCAGAATACGGATGAAAAAGAAATTCGTTTTGGATTAGTTCGAAGAACAGGTGCATTAGTATCACATATAGGCTGGCTTGGTGCTACTGCTCTTGGTCTCAAATAGAATAACACAAGTTATTATCATACTAAAATCGTTTTATGTTGAAAACGACCTTCAAAAATATTTTTTTACAAATGAGTAGTGTTGAATCAATATTTTATATTTTTGAAAAAAAAATATTTACAATAAACGCAATAGTATTTTATCATATTTTATAATTTTCTAAGTATATCTTCACTTTTATTTATTTTACTTTTTTTATACGTAACAATTGAATATAAGCCATAATTAAACATACAACAGCCATTAATATCATCATAAATACATTTTTCCATACATCCCAATCTGTAATATATGGAATTTTACGTTCTATTAATATTTGCTCACCTTGTAATGGACATATGTGAGTATTATTTGATAAACAAAATGTTAAATCTTGAAATTCATTTATAGTTAATAAATTAGAAGAATAACGAATAGCACTAATCCATTTAATCCATTGCAGAAAAGAAAAGATACTGTCTAAATCAACAAGAAAACCACTAACAACCATCATAGTAGCAAAAATAAGTATAGTAATAATTAATGCAACAGCTAAAATAAAAGACATTACATAATATTATATAATAAAAGTTTTTTTTGCTCATACCAAATGTTGGAATACAAGCTGCAATAAAAAAACATAGAGCTGAACCAAATACTGATGATACAAATATTGCTACGAAAAATCTAAGAAATCGATGAATGGATCGTTGAAAACCCATAAGAGGATAAGAAATAATTGAAAAAATAAATGAAGGTATAAGACGCAATGGAATTAGATCACATATTATTTTTGCTAAGAAATATGTTATCACACGATAATATCCACTAGCATTTTCCTAAAAATCAAAAATAAATTTTTGAATTTATATAAATAAAAAAAGTATTTGTTACATGAATAAATAATACTCGTTCTTTTATTAATGGTTCTAAAGCATTCGCTGTACATAATATTTGATGTGTTGCAAAAAAGAAGATAGCTCCAATACGATTTGATACACCCGGATGAACTGTTGCTTTCATATTATAAAAAAGTAATCCAGTAAGAAGACCTAATGCCGTAGAAATAAGAATTTGAGAAGCAGTTAATTCAGGATTTCTTATTGCATTTCGAATTGTTCGTTGTGCAACATAATAAAATTCACTTGTAAATGATCGAGATATATTTTCATTCAATAAATGTGAATCATCAATATGATTTTCATTTATTGTAGATTTTATTAACGACATATTATCTGAATACATTGTTGACTGAAGATACGAATGTTGAAGTATTTTCGAAGAACGACCATTTGTATCAAGTAAAACATCAAGAACAAAATCTGCTGGATTTTCATGTTCTTCACATTGAAAACCTTGAGAATTAAAATACGATAAAACATTCATTGGTAAACCAAAATAAACAATATGACCATTTGATAAGAAAAGTACAGTATCAAATAATTTAAATATTGAATAACGAGGTTGATGAATAGAAAAAATAATTGTACCTCGAAAAACAAAAGAAAAATCAAAATTTTGTATTTTTTATTTTCATTTAACTTACGTCCTTGTCGTGATAAATTATTCAAACAATTCATAACACTGTGTGCTGTCGATGCATCAAGACCTATGTGTAAAGATATTTAACAAAACAAAAAAAATAAATTTAATCGAGAAAATAATTTACCAGTTGTTGGTTCATCTAAAAATAAAATATTTGGTAAAAGAACTAATTCCATTCCAATACTTGTTCGTTTTTTTTCTCCACCAGATATTCCACGAATTAAATCAGTACCAATAAAAGTATCAGCACACGATTGAAGATCTAAATCATGAATTATTTTATTTACTCGATCGATTCTTTCATGAACGGAAAGTGTATGTTGTAAACGAACATTAGCTGAAAACATTAGATTTTCTCGAACAGTTAATGTTCCACTGATAATATCTTTAAATATAAATTTTATATCTATGTTAAATAATATATATTCTATGGTACCTTCTTGAATAACATAACCAATAGTATGTTTGAAATTAGCTGAACGAGGTTTTCCACATACAAGAACATTTCCTGTCAAATCATGATGATCTTTTCGATCAGCAAGAATATCAAGTAGAGTTGATTTACCACAACCGGTTGGTCCTATTAATAAAGTTTATCGAAATAGTTGAAAAGTCATAATAACATATATATACCTAAAATTGCATTCATGCCTGTTGTAAAAGCACCTGAGATATCAGAAAGGATTTGCCTATTTATTTTTTGTTTATTACATGAAAATAATTTTGACCATTTCGAAGAGTTTTTCGTCGGTTCTGTTTGAGGAATTGTATAATTTATTTTTTCAAATGAAATTGTCGATGATTTATATGTATTTTCATTAATTTTTATTGTTGAATCTACTTGATTATCATTTGTAAGTAAAGGATTAGTTGCATCTCTGTTTTCATCATCTACAGCCATTTTTGTGGTCATTCTAATAGTTAATAATATTATTTTACTTGTTGTTACGTTCTTCTATAAACAGAAAAAGAAAAGAAAACAATTTAGTATTACAGATCTTTAACAATGTAACTTTGTTAAAAGGTATTGTCTGCTTTCAGCATACATTTTACTTTTTAAACTATTAGTACTTTTTTTTGTTAAAAATAAAGTGTTACTTGTGGAATTTGTTAAATGTGGATTAGAAATGATATTTTACTTTTTGAATAGAGATAAATTAAATTAAACTAATAATATGTGAATGTAGATTGATCAACATTTGAACTTTGATATGTTACGTACATCTTTGACGTTTCGTAATTATACATTATATTTTCATTTTCTTTTCTCTGTTTTTGTCCTTGTCGATAGTGGTAAAGATAAAGAAACCTAAGTGTTTATCAGTATTATTGTCTTATCTTAGTCACACCATAATCATCAAAAAGAAAAAAATGAAAAATAATATATAGAAAGAGAGAGTCAACATTAGGTAAAATGTATGCATAACATCAAAGTTCACACGATTATATTATTAATCAATCTTATTAACTCTATATCACAATTATATAATCTAGATTTAGCATTGTATATCATATACATATAATTTTCTAATGTACCATCAATGAAATACATTTCATTTTTATTATTATAAACAAAGAATTGAATATTTTTATTTTTAAATTCAAAGAAAAAATGTAAATATAGAAATAATATTATGTCAACAAAAAAGATTATTAAGTTGTTAATAGTTCTGTTAAAGCTTTCTTATATAATGCAATTCTATGTCGTGTTATTGTGGAATTAATATATTGCATTTATAGTACCATCTTGAGACAAGTATACAAATATGTCATTTGAAGTATTTCTAAGAAGAAATGATGTTTAAATAGAAAGATTAACATAAAACTTTGTATGCACAATAGTTATTGTTATTGTCATTTTGATATAAATACCATTTAGGAAAACAGAAGAGATTCATATAAATATATATAGATATGAGAGACTAAACTATAAAATCATAATATAAAAAACATATGTTTTACAAATGACAGATTTAAGAAAAAAATGCACGAAGTTGTTTGTAATAATATTAAACAGATGTATTTAGATTTTTTTATATAAATATTATCTTTTCTGTTCTTATTTTTTATGCATGATTTATTGTACATACATAGAAAAATATAAATATACTGCATAATTTCAGCTGATCTACCATAAACGATGTACTTATAGTTATAATTTTCGGTCTAATGCATAAAATAGTTTCTTATTCAAACTGTTCTACCACTCTTGACTTTCAATCAATAATAAATATAAAATATGCACGTAGATTTCTTTTTTTGTCAATTATTTTTATCATAATCGATGATTAAATTGAGTAACCTTTTCTTTTTTTATGTTCAATCATTCAACTGAATAAACAATTCTAATATGAAATAAAATCATTTTACTTAAGCAAACAAGTGACATTAATTGTATACATTGTGATTAAAAAGAAAGAAAATAGTATAGAAAAAATTCCTTACAACAAGTGATAAACAAACAAACAACCAAAAGACATGCCGAAATTAAACAATATATTGTGTTTCAAAAATCATGATCATCTAAACAAAGTTCATGTACTTCTCTTATTAGTTAGACGATATAATTAAATTTTATAGAGACAAAATCGGAAGCTTTTCTATGTATTATAAATCCTGCTTAAAAGTATTGCCTTTAACATCAATATAAAAATCTAGACGTTTTTGACAGTTTCTAAAAAAAAACACATCATGAAAAGCTGTTTTTTAATTAACTCGATGTCTCGGGTTATTAAGCTAACCATAGAGTTCAATTGAGAAGGGTGTGGGTATTGTATCTGTCTAGAAATAAAAAATCTATCATCTATTGTTAGCTCTTTAAAAGATACTACTCTCTCAAATGAAATCCATATAGTTAAGGCTTAACAATAGATTTTTAATATTGATATTGAAGACAATACTTCTGAACAGGATTTATAAACTTGACGAATATGAAACACAACTTACTATTCTTCTCGATAGAATAAAAAAAACTGATTTAATTATATCGCTTGACTAATACGAGAGATAAATGAATTTTTTAAGTGATTATGACTTTTGTAACACCCTGTATATTATATTGATTAATTCTATATAACATATCGAAAATAAAGAAAAAGAATTGAATTTTCTTGTCTTTATGATCCCGAATAATTCATTTTCATTTGTTCTTCAGCAGCATTTCGTAATAATTCAGCTGCTTTGTATTCATCAAGTAAATCTTTGGCTATTGCTGATATATATCCAGCATTTTTTAATAAAGGTATTATAATTAAACATAAAATTGTACTAACAAACGTTAATGTCATAAAAATCCAAAATAATAATCGATCCATAATAAGTGCCATTAATTTCCATTCATTAACAATTTCATTTCTATCTTCTTCAAGTTTTTGTTTATCCATAATATGTTTTAAATGTTTTTCAAGTAAATACATATTCGAATTAAATAATTCATAATGTGATGTTATATTTGTATTTCTTATTGATGGTAATGGATGAGATTGTTCAGGAATAAGAACTATTTGTGAAGGACGTGAACGAGAACGATGATGATGATGTGAATAAGTACGTTTATTAATTGCTGTTGATGATGAACGAATATCACCATTACTACGTTCTAATGTATTTGGTATAAATTGTTTCATTTTTTCTTCATCATCATCATCATCATGATCATATTCATCATCATGATTTTGTCGGGCTTCTTCTCGATGAGAATTTTCTAAAAAAGAAATTTTATGAAGCAAAACTGTTTTATTTTTGATTAAAAGTAGGTTAAACTACTGATTGTCATATTTTTGTTAATAATGTTAATTTAGAATGTGTCGAAGAAAGAATAAAAGATAATATCAGACGGAATAGATTAGAATGCATTGATGTACAATGAAAAAAATAATAATAATAGACAAGAAATGATTTGACTAAGTCATCCAAGAAATAAAAGATCTATGTGTATATTCAAGTTCTCATTAGTTTTTAACTAATTAAGATAATTATAGATATATACCTTGACGATGTTTAATATTCTTTTTTTGATAAACATATTTTTTCTCATTATCAATAACTGATGTATCTATTGGTTTTGTTGGTATTGTAGCAAAACATCGATAAACATCATCTGTTTCAATTAAATTATGTTCTTCAGCATAAATTTGAACAATTTTTGTCATTCCTATAAATGGTGCTATATATCTAACTAAGGAATATTTAAATGTATGTGGAATAGAAATAATAACAGGACCAGAATGATGTAATTGAAGAACATAAACAGTTAATACAATTGATAATGATGTAAGTGCCATAACAACAGTTAAATAGATTTCAATAAGTGGAACCATTTCACTTGTTGCTGGCATTGATTCAGCAATTAATAACATAAAAACAGAAAAAGCAAGAAGAACAGTTATACCAAGTGTTATTTTTTCTCCCGAATCTGGTGGAAGCCAAAATCCAAGAAGTGAAAGAATTGATAGCCATATACAAGGAAATATTATATTAAATAAATAATATAATACACGACGACGCATATGAACTGAAATAAGAATTTTAATATAAAATAACAAAAACGAAAAATTATTTTTACCATAAATTGTTACATCAGGATAATAAATTCCTGGACAACATGGATATGTAACATCATTACGTTTCATTTCAATATGAAGAATATGCCATTCACCTGAACGTATATAATTATTCATATCAACATTTTCACGTCGTTTTGTTAAATTAACTTGAGCTGCATCGTATGTCCACGAACCAAATTTTAATTTGCATAATTGATCTATTATTTTTTTTAAATAAAGAAATTTGGTTCTTTTTTTTCATAAAAAGCAAAAAAGAAATTTACCATCGAATGGAAAATAAGTGACATCAATTTTACATGATGATCGAAATTTAGCTGGCGGTGGCCAAAAAACATGTCCATTATTTTCTACCATAGCTTTACTTTGATAAAACCCTTGAGTATAATCATCAGCTGAATTATATAGAACAATATCTGGTAACCAGATTTTTGAGCATGGTAAACGAAGCGTTGATAAACCATTAAAATCCGATGCATTCCATACTAAACGTTGATCAAACCATTCCTAGATTATTTTATTTTGATTAGAAAGATGAACAAACAAAAAAAACAATTCTTTTTGCAGATTACCTGTTCGAGCCATATATTTGTTGTTAATACTTGATTTTTTTCATCCTTAAAATAAGATAAAAATATTTTATTTTATCTTCTTCAAAAACACCTGGAGAAATATCAAATCGATTTAAAATATAAGTAGGATTAGATTTTTGCTCACAGCAGAAATCTAAGTTATTATTATTATTTTTTTTTACATAAAAACATCAATCTTTTTTTTTGGCTATGATTTCTAAATATATTATGCTTATTGTATATATATATATATATATATTTCTTTTTATTTACATAATTTGAAAAGATCTATCAAGTTCCGAATGATCGGTCTATTAATCAGTATATTTCTATGTTCACATACCATATCGCTTAGTTGAGTCAAAGAAATGCCAAAAGCAACACTAACAGTATTTGATGCATTATATACAGGTCTTGCTGATGGATCATAATTTCTTAATAATTGTACCATTAAACGTTGTTCATCAGGTATTGAATCGGATTCATTGAGAGCTAGATTATAATATGAAGAATAATAATAATTTAAATTAGATTGAGAGTATTGTTGTGGATTTGAAGAAGATGCACCGGATGCAGTAGAACCACTCTTACTAGGCACTTTTAAACTAGTAAAGACAACTTGATAAGATAGCTCAAAGAAATATGTTGCTAGAAGATATATGATAAGTACTAACATGATGTTTCGTGATAATCTCTAGCTTATTCATTTGTTTCTTACTAACGTCATTGATGTGAGAAATAAGTAGATATTTTTGCTCTTAGAAAACAAGAGAAAAAACTATAATAAGGAGAGGGAAAAGAAAGAGGAAATAGAAAGAGATAAAATGTTTTTTTTTCTATTTATTTGTGGGAAATAAGATAAAAATAATCATTACACTGATTATTAGAACCTAATTAATCATTCTCAAGAGAAACAGTTAATAATCGTATTTTTTTTATAGGAATTCAATCGATTGAACATAACAATATTTCATTATTAAGAAAGAACGGAAAATATACATACATACATATATATATATATAGAGATTCTTTTTTTTTCATGTCTTATTCAAGATAATTATGAGTAGTGATATAGATCTATCATTTTGATCTAATTATATTAAATATTAATATATATACTTACCATAGTCATACCATGAATTCATATCTTGAGACCATGGATTTTCTTGATTTCGAGAAAATGAACCGTGTCCACCAGAAGTTCCTTGATTAAGTGTGCGTGATGATGAATAATGAGGACTTCCAGATTTACAATTGATTTTATTGAAATATATAAATACGATTTTTATAATAATAAAAATATAAGATGATGTTTGTCGTACCATATTGTTACATCGACGAACATTTCTGATTAAACAAAATAAAATTATAAAAAGATATCTTTATATCTAGAAGAAAAGACAATGCGTAAGTGTTAATACTAAAATTCGATAGTATTTGATTTTTTTTCTCTAATTAGTATTTGATTAGATTACAAAATTTATATCTTTATTTACATTTTGAAATATTATATAGCATGCAAGTTTACTTTTTTTGTTGTTTCTTTTATATAACTGTAGATTGGATATTGTATTGTTATTGAATAAATTCATTTATCTTTTAGTAAATATTTAATCAAAAAATAAACTCGAATCAATAAAATAGCTGTGAACGATGATTGTAGACTGTTACTTTCTCGTTTAATGAAATGATGAAGAGATGCCGAGTGAAGTAAATGAAGAGGAAACTATATCAAAGATTGTTTTCTTCGTTTCTCGTCATCATTAAAATAACCTTTAGGCAGTATGAGATATAATGTCATTTGTAAGAATTTCTACTTTAGAACCGATTATAGATAAAATATGAGAAAAAGAAAGGAATATTTCTTTGCTCTTACCAAAAAGATCATTTAATCTTTAGATTTGTTTGATATAAACGTTAAAAGAAGTAAGTGACTAATCAAAATACTATATTGAAAGTGAGAACTATGTTCTTGTCGTTTTTCTAATTCTATATATTTTCTACTCTTTCTCTCGGTCTTTTTTTCTCTCTCTATATACACGATCAATTTGTCAGCTCAACCGACAACGACAAGCGGCAGCTGGAGACCGAATCGAGTATGATTTGTTCATGAAGGAAAAGAATAACAACAACATAGCAGAGTTTCTTCGATTTCATGTCATCATCGAAAAAAAACGGAAGACATTTTCCATTTGGAATGTCTAAAAAAACCGATGGATAGCATTCAAACTGATTATGTTGATTCCACTTCTATCGTCTGGAATACTTAAACTATTTTTTATTTTATTTCTTTTTTTGATCAATTTCAATAAGATTAAAATGTTAATAAATAAATGATTATCTACTTTCTTTAATATTATATTCATTTACACAACTTAAACAACGAATAATAGATAATATGTTATTAATAGATTGTTTATTTCTCATGATTTATAGTTGTTTGATTAATGATTTGTCATATATGAAATATATCATTGTTTCTTCTATACTGAATATTATTTTTATATATGAATAGAAAAAAATTCTAGCGCTTTTTGTCCGTTATACCCTAGAGAATAGGAATAACACATTTACTTTATTATCTCAAACTAAATACTTTTTTGATTGACGATGTAGAATTTCCGTAGACTAAAAATCATTCATTAAAAAGCAAAAAAAAGAATATAAAAATTTTAGTATAATATGACTGATAGCATTATTTGCGACATGAAAAAAAACGTACTAAGTATTTTTATCGAATAAAAACGTATATATATATAATGTATTATTTCTCGTCATATCCTTTTTTTTTTAAATTTAATATTAATTATCTAATTTTAGTCATAAACGTATGGAAAATATCTTTCATAATAAATGTCAATCATAATTAGTTTTATTTTAAAACAATTTGAATTTTCAAGAAAAAAAATTTTTGTATATACCTGTGGATTCTTTTCGCTTATGTTAAAATATTTCATATACTTAACCTTGATTTTATTTATAAAGATTTCAGACTATACATTTCAATATCAATAAATGAAAGACCGTTTGAACCAGTAAATGTTTGATTTCCTTTGCCTGTTAAATCAATATAATGTGATGGAAAAGAAATGAAACTAGAATGTTGATCATGATTTTGTAAATTTATACAAATATCCCAAAATCCAAAAATAGGTCCAGTAACGAAGGATGGTAGAATTGCATTTGTACCTTCGGAATGTATTGGATATTTAGTAGGAGGAATATTATGTGGATTAGTTAATGTAAATAGAAATGCATGTTTATCAACTCCCCAATGTTTACCTTGACTATTCCAATTAACTGTTGTATATCCACCGAATAAATATCCTTCTGATGATTGAATGATAGTAAATGTTGGACCTTGATTATCACATAATTGATGACAAATCTTTGAATCAAATACATTTTGCGTACTTTTATAAATTAGTTGCCATTTTTGATTTTGATTTCCGTAAAATTTATTTACTTGAGTTTGATGATCTGTTGTTAAAAGTGTTCCACCAACAAACAATTGATTTTCTTCTCGAAGAATATTTTTTAGTGACGTTCCCGTAATAACTTGAATTAGTGTTGAAAAATCAATTGACGTTATGTGAATATGAGTGGGAATTGGTTGAACGTTCAAATCGGATTGAATTTGCCCGAGTTTTTTACTTAATTTCTCAATATCTTGCTCATAATAGTTGTCTTCTTCTTTACGTCTTTGTAATTCTTTTGATAGATTTTTTAATTCCATTTCAACAACTGTATTATCCGGAATCATACATTTATTTACCTGTTGTCGAGCACGTTCTGCTGTTTTTCTAACTATTTCCAAAGTATCTTCTTCCCATTGAGTTATTTCATCAATAAGACTTGTTATTTGTGGATAATTTGAAGATATTTTAGAATTAAGTATATTAATTTGTTCATATAAAGCATCTCGATCGATACATACTTGTTCAAAACAAGTATCTAAATAATGACGATGTTCATTGAAATGTATCGAACAAAATCGATCAGTACATCCGTCACATCGAATCATGCCCATTTTTTTACAATTTGCGCATTTTTGTTGTTCTAATTCAGCCATTTTCAGAGTTTGAAATACTATAAAAAAAAAGGAAGAAGAAACAATAGAGAAACGAAATAAAAAGACATCGTGATGTCTGTCATAATAATGCGTCATAAAACAAAAAGAATACGTGATAATTGTTTTCAAAAGGAAAACAAAAAAAAGAATATTACGTGTTATTTTATTAGAATTTTAGTAGTTTTTATCTTTTTTTTATGAACGGTATTCAATAGATTGTATCAATTATTTAAGAACCTAATTTAGCGTTCAGCATGATACATGAATAAACAATTGTATTATAAGGGCGTGGTTAATCATAGAATGTCTCAATTTTTATTTGGTTCTATAGCTTTATTCAATAATAAAAAGAAATGATTTTTTTACCAGTAATAATGTACGTGTAATGCTAAGAATCTATTGTTATTTGAGCTCTATGCCTCACAAAAATCTAGAGTTAGTAAGTGTTTCTTTATAACCATTGTGAATTTATCATGTTTTTCATTTCTAAATCGGATGCTTATTTAAATTCAGATCACGTAAGGCACAAACAACTTGTGCAATCTTGATCATCTTATGACAATCATTAATAGTTCCTCGGCAAATACTATTAGTAACTGGTAAAAAAATCTTTTTTTTTTTTGCTAATTAAGTGAAGCTACAGAACTAAGAGTGATGATAATCGATTCATCAGTAACTACTTTAAAGTCTACTATGAAGAGCTATTTTTGGTACTATCAGTCATCATTATTTTAAAAACGTCTGAACTAACTACACTATGCTCGTTCTCATGATGAATTTTAAGCTATTTTTATAGACTTCACATCCGGTATTATTTACCGTTAAAGGTTGACTGGTGAGTGATCGGCACTGTTGTAGCCCGAAGTAAAATAGATATAGAACTTGCAAAAGCAAACATATCTACTATAAGAGAAGTATTATATTGACGTTTATCTATAAAGATAAAGTTTAAATTGTATGTCACGCCATTTTTTTCATTATTAATTAAATAATCATAAGTCGTCATCGAACCATTCTAAATAATAAAGAAATATTTTTAAGTTAATTAAAATATATACTATCGTAATTATAAAATAGTGCAATAGTTTTTTAATTGTAGAAATATGAATTATATATATAAAGACTATATTTCATATTCCATTAATGACGAGACATGTAGGAAAAGGTTCAATAAGTATATAGAATATTATTTCATATGAAGTAAGTTAATAAAGATAATTCATAATTATATATAAAAGCGAATTTTTGTATTGATCTACTTACATGTTTCCTTTCATAATCTAGCTATAATCCCTTAATATTAAAGATACTCTATTCAACAACACTATCCACATATACATTATTTAATAAATAGTTTTTTGTTATTTACATAATTTTTTGGTTTATATTCACTGAGCAAATTTTCAATTATCGGCATATTAGTTCTAAACATCATTTTATAGTTGTTTATTATTTTAGAAAGTCTTTCTGAATAAGAGTTGATGCTCATATCATGTAAATATATCATTTTATTTGGATTGAACTAGTATAAACTTTTGAATATTTTATTTCCGTTTTAAAACCATCGATTTAAACAAGACATAACCAATATAACAATAACATTCTCTATTCTTTGATTGAAGTTTCTTATTTTCTAAGTAAACGTTCAAGTTTAAAGTAGATATCTTCACAAGTATACTTGAAAAATGATTAACCTCAGGCACTTAAGACATATGATATTAGAATATAACAGCAATTATTCAATCACTTGTCTTTTTCGTACTTCTAAATGTCTACTTATACAAATGTAATGACTGACATGAAAGAATAGAAGACAGATGAACGAATCGTCGTCGAGGTAACATATACTTTTTTTCTCATCAAAGGTAAAAAGAACGAGAAATATTTGCCATTTTATATCGTATTTTTTTAATTAATAATTAAAAATATTTCATTTGTAATGTGCGAATTATTAAATACAACATTTGACAATTTAAATAATTCCTATTCTCAATTATCATTGTATGAATATCCATCATATAAACCATTAAAATTATCAAATTATTTACCGGAATCAAACCGTGATCAACTACTATTATCATTACATTCGTTATCATTAAAAGTCAAAACTCTTGAAAATGAACGAAAAGTTAGAATATTAAAAAATTATTTTCTCTTATTTATATGAAATTTTTCTATTTTCTATTTAGAAAGCTGAATTAACTTTTCATGAAATAACAAATAAATCTATTCGATCATTTAACAATGATAAACAACCGAAAGAAATTCTAGATAAGAATGTACAATCATTTTCGAAATGTCGAATAAATAAGAAAAATAATCATAATGTCTATCCAACTCCAACAATAAAAAATATTAATCGTATACCTTTTATTCTTGGGCAATCGACAACACCAAGTCATAATGTTAAAACAAATATACAGAATGTAACAAAAAAAGAATTTTAAAATGAAATATTTTATCTATTTTCATTTAAGGTTTTTGCTTTGTTAAAAAATAATAAGCATCAATTACGTTCATCATCAAAAGAATACACTAATCATCTCCATCTTCATTGTAAAAAACAATCTCTTTATCCTGATCATTATAAGAAATCAAGAATTATCAAAGATAAACAATATGATATAGGTTTAAAACATCTAGTTAATGAATATGTTAGACATTCTCGTAAACATTCAAATTTCAATTCATTTGAAACATTAAATCAAAAAATAGAAAATATATTAGAAAAATTTGAACATTTACAAAGAGAGCATATGATGTTAAGATATGGTCATACAAACGAAGAATTCAATGAAACACCAACAGAAACTTTAGAAAGAACAAAATTACTTCAACTTATACTTAAAGATTCTTTTGATGAAGAAAATACTTAACTAACTTACATTCACTAATATCATATTTTTTTTAAATTAAATAATGAAACTTTTTAATTGTATTCATAAGTTGTTCTATATCTTTATTTTATAGATAGTCATATTGAATAATAATTAAGATTTAGTAAGTTTAAATCTCGTTTTGACGGCAAAATATAACTATTCACATGAATACATCTTAAGGGTAATCGGCGGTGCAGGTTTGATATTTCAAGGTTGCACAGCGGCAGGGGCTCGAAAATTTCGCATACCATCGGCGGTGGCGGCTATTTAGCCGCACGGCTTATATCTCTACAAGTTGTATTGACATGCGATATATGTCTTGTCTCTATATAAATCATAACATCGTATTCTTAGTAAAGTTCCTATATAATATTTATGAAGGTCATAGTGAAAAATCATCTTGTAGGATTTCCATTGAATGATGGGGATTGCATCAATTTATGAGAATATTATCTAAGTTTGTGTTATTCTATTATGAAATAAATATCGAAACAATTAAAACATCTTCATTATGATAAAAGGGAGAAGTGAATAAATTTTATGTTTGTTCTGTGTATTCTTTATGACTTGACCGTTGTCATGTTACTTACCTATTTTACATGTTTGTCTTAAAAAAAAGCAAAGAAAAGAAAAAAAATAAGATACATCGATTGTATACTCAAACAGAACATATTAACATTTGTTACTTCTTTATTTAAGACAATCGAATAATTTTTTCTTTTTTAGTTTTAGGTCAGCACCTAACCATCAGAATTGTATAAAAGCATTTCTGTTATTATTTGAAACGGATGTATTCGTTGATGTTTAAAAGTATATTTTTTTTCATTTAAATAAGTCTTTAAAAATACTCTAATAAACGATATTTTAGATTGTGGTTTTTCGTCACATTACATCAATGTCAAGGGTAAAATAGATTGTTTTTGTTTATTAAACGAATTTAAAATTATATAAACAATATTTTTTATAGACATTCCGAAGAGAACAATTGAATTATCCTGGCATGTAAACGACCATTCGAGAAAAATGCAGAATAGCGTTTTTAAAAGAAGAATATATAATTTTATTTTAAAAAAAAGGTATTGTAACATAAGGTATACATTAGTATTTGTTTAGCAGAAACTAAGAACTCATCTGAACTTTAGCTGATTTATATATTTTTTGTCATCGAAGACTAAGAACAAAGTAACATTAACAGAATCTTAGATCTTCTGTTGTACATATAAATAACTTGTAGTATTACACTAAACTTGTTTAACTGCATTCTCATTACTACAAGACAACAATTTCTTAGTTCTACATGAGAATGCAAATTATAAGTTAGACTTATATGAGGATATATTTAGATTTAATTCACAATGGGCTAAGGAATGACAAGTAGAATTATGATTGATAGGACTTGACATAGTTCTGTATTCAGAAAACTCGTTTAAATAGTATATATGAAACTAGGAAATGTTTTCTCTTTTAATAAGTTATTGTTGTCTAATAAACATTCTTTCTTTTCGTATTTATCTTGAAAACTCAATATCTTAGGAATGAAAGCACACAATACAAATCATTTTCAGATCATGACACTTCATTAATATCCATTTTTGCTTATTCGTTGAGTAAAATATTTCATAAACAAGTAAAAAGTATGGTAAAAGACAAATTTTCGACATAGTTTATAATCTTTCGTTGAGATCGGATATAGCAAAAAGGAGGATAGCAAGAAGAATTTTTGTAAAAAAGAGAAACATTCATATACCAGGTTTTATCTAGATAATCAGCAGGCAAGGCGTCTATTCGAACACTCGATAGTAGTTTTTCTGTGTAAGTCTTTTTTTTTAAATGAAATTTATGTAGACACAATATCGATGAGTAGCGAATTTATAGTTTTTGTTCAATTTTCGACGTTTCGAATCATTGTAGATTCATTTACAAGACATAATCTTGCTTTCCACAACCATATTTTTAATTTTGAAGCTCAATACACTACAAGAATAATAATAATAATGATAATAATGAGCGATAATAGACACAATATCGATGAGTAGCGAATTTATAGTTTTTGTTCAATTTTCAACGTTTTGAATCATTAAAGATTCATTTTCAAGACATCACCTTGCTTTCACTACTCATCGATATTGTGTCTATTATCGCTCATTATTATCATTGTTATTATTATTCTTGTAGTGTATTGAGCTTCAAAATTAAAAAAATGATTGTGGAAAGCAAGATTATGTGTTGAAAATGAACCTATAATGATTCGAAACGTCGAAAATTGAGCAAAAACTATAAATTCGCTACTCATCGATATTGTATCCATTATCGCTCATTATTATCATTGTTATTGAAATTTATGTAATTGGATTTTTTAGTACATCAACTTTCATTGTTAAAACCTTGGCTTACATTATCTAAAAATTGTTCTTTTTTTACTCTGATTTATAAACATGTTCTTCAGCATACAACACACGACACTTTTCATATACTTTTAAATTAAAAAGCCTAGAATTATTGTTTACTTCTTAACGGCATTAAATATTCAAGTTTTTTGTATTTGAAATAATCTGCCCAATAAAATAAAATATTAAGTGTCTTCGTATAATTAAACCTAATATATATACATATAGATGGAAGATAGACTTATCTATTCATGCTTACAGTTTCGACAATGTTTTATACTCGAATAAATAGATATCTTTTCATTTTAACAAATAGTATTGAACATTTTAAATAAAACTACAATGTAACTGAAACAAAGTATAAGGATCTTTTTCAGTGGAAAACGATTTTTGAAAAATATTACATTAACAGAAAAATTATCTTTGGTATATTTCTATACTTTTAATTGAAAATATTTATCGAACGAAATAATTATATAAATCTTTTTTGTTGTTTATAAAAATGTATACAATATTGTTATGATTGCTTCTATGATATTAATTATTGGAAAATTTTATTAGTAACAATACGATTCTTTTATTTACATGTACAAAATAATAAGTAATAATTTTTATATGTACAAAAAAAATAGTTTTCGTATAACAAAATATATTCTGTCATTTTGTAATTTATGATTAATTAACTTAAATTTAATCTAATTAAAGACGTATACTCGTTTGATTAGCAGTTGCTGTTTTCATCAACAGTTGCTGTTACAGGTGGTGATAATACTAATGAATGTTTTGGTGGTACATTAGACATTGCAGCTTCATAGGATGGTGGTGCTTCTTCATATATACTCGGAATTGGTGATCTACCATTAGCATCATAAACAGGATGAACTTGAAAAGTTCGACCGGGTCTATGCCTAGATTGTTGGTGATATGTATACGATCCTATTTCATTATTTGTATCTATCGTAGAAGAACGAGCATGCTTTTGCGATTGCATCCAGCAGGATAAACATGTAACTATAAAAACGATGGGAACAACAATAATGACTGTAAGAAGACTTGGTGGTAAATCTGAAGATGGTGTTGGCACAGGTACTCGTGTTGTATAATATAAACATGATCCTGAAGTACTTCCACAATATTGATAAGCTATTAGAAATAAGTAAAGAAATAGAAGTTTTGATGAGTTTTATTTACTTTCACAGCACCAAGTGTACGAATAAGTTTGACATGTTATTTCTAAATTAGAAAAAATCGCATAATAAAGATTATTTTTTTATCATGAAAAACTCACGATCATAACGACAAGTAACACTATAAACATTTGTACATATGAATGTAAATAATATAAGAATCGAAAATATGTAATTATTCGGTTGACCAGACATATTATTTAGAATATTGAAGTTTCTTTGCGTAGTTTTTTCATAAGACTGAATATTATCATTCATTCATTCATTTACATAATGGTAACAAATATTGACTCACCATAAATAGATAAGGCCATTCGGTATGTCTTGTCTTCATTTATGCCCTTCTGCTTGGCAAGGTTTTGACTACTAATATAATATTTACTCAATAAGAAAAAGAACTGAGTCAGAAAAATGAAGATATTCTAAATACTGACATGTAGTTTTCATGTACATAGTTTATATATTCGATGATTCGGAAAATTCTCTTTTCATATTTATTTTAGTATAATAAAAAAAAATTAGAAGTAATAGATATATTTATGATCATGAATCTATGTTGGAAATGCATGCTTAATACATAATTTAATAGAATTATGTCTTGTCATATTAGATAAGTTTCATTCTCTTTTTTGTTGGAGAAAGACGACATTTGTGTATCTTCTCTTCATACTCAAAGATTAGAGTATGAAAACTGACTGCTGATATATATTGGTCATCAAGTTCTTCCAGCTTTTGATGAATACTATACTACTACGAAATAGATATTTATCGTGACAATATATAATATAGTTTATGTTTTAATAATTTGAGTAAAATATAATAAACACGTAACTATTGTAATGAAAAAAAAACGAGCAAATAGTTAAAAATAGAATTCTTGCTTTATCGTTTTTAATAATAAGTATCACTATCTATCATCTGTTTGAGAATGATAGCGATGATAATATTAAGAAGAAATGAAATTTGTTTAATACCTAGAATTATATTCAATTATTAGTATATGTCATTGGTTTTTAATCTATAGATATTGATTACCGTATACTTCTAATAATTTTCTCATATCCATATACATTTTAACTATTTATCTTCTTTTCATCAATCTATTCGGTAATATCGATGAACGATAGATAATATATCATGTCTCCTTTTATTCATACGTATATAATGGAGTTTTCTGGCTTTGTGATACTTTTCCAGAAATATATTTTTAATGATTCAATGAAAAGTATCGTAATACTGGCAAAGACGGAAAGATTTTGTGGTGCTGAATTGTGATAATTATTAAGCGTTGTATTTATAATCAAGAGTTTTATTGTCCATAAAATAAATAGATGTAAGTAAAATAAATTTCTAATACTAACAAAAAATGCCGTATGATTACTATGAAATATTGGTTAATAATAAAGAATTAAGTCAATAAATAATATTTGTTTATAGTCAAAATCAATCAAATATTATGTTCATTTTTTCTAAAAGAGAACGTTAACAGATGGTGCTACTTGTGGATAGTCTATGTTAAGAGGATATTTCCCATAATAGAGATGACGCTACGAATGATACTAAAAAGAAGAAATGATCTCGAAGAAAATATGATATTATTAGATTTTTAGATTGTATTCGATTTTTTTATGCAGACCATCTTATCAATTGTTTCTGCTATAAAACATGATCTGAACAAATAGTAGAATTTCTAGAAGAATAAAAAGATGAATCATCCTTTTTTGATACTGCGTAAATTATTTATATTGATCGTAAAGTGCAAATGGCTTCATCGAGTCAAACAAGTACGAATGATAATTTAGATGAAAATCATCTAATTCAAAATGTTACGAAACATTGGAGTACAATAAATAAATCATTAGAACATGTACCAAAATTTCAAAATCTTCAACAAACAGGTGTTAATGAAGAACAAATAAAAGAACTTGAATCAAAATTACATATAACTTTACCTAAAGAAATTCGAGCTGTTATTAAAGTTCATGATGGACGAAAACATATTGAATATGGACTTAGTTATCGTTTACCAACAACAGATCTTTTACCTATTTCACAATGGAAACCATATGAAATAGATAATGATGATTTTATTGAAGATTTATGTAATGCTCTTACGGATGAAAATGATGCATGTGCTGATAAAAATTTACGTGAAGATTTTCGAGAACATTTAAAAGTTTGCAAAGAAAAAACTGGCAATGATAAGTTCTCTGATAAAAAAGAATTTAAATCAATTCCTTGTGAATTATTAATTATTGGACAAGGTATGGATGATTATGCTGAACAATATTTATTAAGTGTTCGATCAGGAAGAATTTATTTGGCTGTTCATAATATACCTGAATGGAAATTAATTGGAACATTCGATGATTGGATTAAACAAGGTTTAACTAGTATTAAAGATCAAAATGATGAACTTAAAGAACAACATGAAGAAGTCAACATTAGTTAAAAAGTTTCTGATATTTTTTTTCTCTTCTAATCTTTTATTCTCAATAAAAAGAAAACAACTCATATCATAAAACAAAACTAAAATTTTTATCGTTGATATATTTGAATACCATTATGATCGAGAAAAGCTATTTTATCTCGATTAATAAGTGTAACATTATATCCATTATGATCAATTCGATTAACTACTTGACTATTCTCATCAAGTAATATACTTTCATAATTTTGTATCAACCATTGATTTTCATTATTAAGTAATGGTGTCATCATACCTAAAAATAAAATTTAAATATGAATAATATCAATCTAAAAGAATTCAATAACTTACAGCGCCATGAATTATTCTCATTTAATATATTAAATGATGATCCATGATGTAATCGTTGAATATTATTTATTGAAAAGAGATCAACGCGCCATTGATTATCAATTTGTTTAATTGATAATGCCACTAAAAAAAATAAAATAGAAGGTGTTTTTTTCAAATAATTAGTTTGATATATGAAGAGGTTACAGATTTGTTTTTGTTCATTAATACGAATACAACCAATTATTTGATCACCTTTTTCACACATTATATCAGATTTATTCCATTGAGTTTTTTTCTCATATGATTTTTTGAAATCATATTGACATAGAATCATATCAGGTTTATATACAATATAAATATCTGTTAAATAACATGCTAAACTCCATAATATTTGAGTAGATTGAGAATTTTTATGTGACTGTAATAAACAATTGTTTAATGGTTTAAATTCATATATATACTGTTCAGTTGCAATAAGAAAAATTTGTGTAGATTCAGACCAACATATGTCATAGACAAAAGAATCAATTGGAGTTCGACTTATAAGTTTATTATTTTCAATAAAAACAAGAGAAAAATATGGTTTCATTTGAAAGATAAGTAAATAATTATGAGAAAGTGATGAACCAGCCATTGCACCAGGACAATTATTCAAAGAATGTTTAGAAAATAATAATAGTGAAGAATAATTATTATTTAAACTTATTGATTGATTTAGTTTTAATTCTCTAAATGAATACAAAAAAAATGCACATATTTTAAAAGAATTTAAATATATTACCCATCATCAGTAATCTGAATAAATGAAACCATATTTTGAATTTGTTCAAGTTGTTGTTCTAATGATTCAACTTGTTTAATTTCAATATTATTTGAAGTTTGTAAAAGATCTACTAATGGTTGTTCAATATAATGATTAATATTATTTATTTGTAATGAACAAAATTCATCAATATTAACTTGTTTAATTGTATTTGATAATTGTTTAGACATATAGGCATGTTTTAAATCAATTTCATTTTTACATTTTACAACCCATCGATTAAGTTTCTCTTGTGAGTTATCAATCATTTGTTCATATGTTAATCTATGTAATATCTGACGTAAATCATTTATACGATTATTAAGTTTATCTGCGCGTATTTGTATTTCATGTTGATGAATTTTATGATGTTCTAAACATACTCCTTGGTTACAATGTAAACAAACAAGAATAGCCCAACGATTACATTGACCTAATGATGTCCCTAAGGAATTTTTATGATTACAACGACCTAATGGAAGTGGGTCCATCTAAGAATAAAAACAAAAAATTATGCCATTTGTTCTTAATATTTAATTCGATTAATTAAATTTATATATTTTTTTTGAATACATTTTAATATTTATCTAGATAAGAACTAATTTATATTCAAATATTCTTTAGCATGTCATTTCTATATAATTATATAATGAATGTAAGTGTTCATGTCATTGTCATTCAATAAACATATGTCTTTGATAGACTTTAAACAAGATTATATTTATCAATAATCAAAATGATTAACTAGTATAGAATTTTTAATGAAAGTAAATATGCGTGGTTATTTACAAAAGAAAAGAACACGTTTGATTAGAAAAAAACAATTCGTTGTAGAATAGCATAACAAAAGAAAAACAAACAATTGCAAAGATTATTGAGAGTTAATTATGTGGAATGTACACACAAAAAAGGTCTTGATCATTATATCTGATTAATTTGCATATATGAGAAAAACAAGCAAAAGAAAGCAAACCATTCACAACCGCTAAAACAATAGAGATTCATTCATTACAAAAAAGAACACAAACAAACAAAATTACACAAAAAAATTATTAGAAAAAAAGCCAACTAAGATTTTTGTTAAACTTCAGTTGGTTCCTGATAAATATATGCATGAGATGGAGATGTTTTAGTCGAAATTTGATTGTATGATGGTGGAACTTCATCATGAATTATTCCTGTTGATTGAGGAACAACATTTTTTTGTAATGGTGATGGTGGTGGTATTTTTCGACGTTCATTTGGTTGATGAAAATCAACTTGATTATATCCTGATGTTGTTGAACCAGTAATCTATAAGAAAATAAATCAAATATTATTCGAATTCAATACATATGCTAAATATTGCATTTTCGCGTTCTAGTTTAGGGTCAAATTAAACTTTTATATATATGTTTTCTAAAAATATGGATGCATATTTATTCTTTTGTAAGAATAAATTTCAAAAACTATGTAGATATAATAAGAAGACAAAATGTCAAAGTACGTGCTCATAGTGATCCGAAATACAAGCAAAAATCAATTGATGTGTCGGGTAGGAATCTAACTTACCAAATGGAATATAAATTTCTTTGGAAGAAACTGAAAGAAGAATGTTTGTTTATAAAGATCTATTATGCTTAGAACTTTTATTCTTATTTAGTTGGATATACATACTGCTGAACCTTCAGATGTTTGATTTGTTTGTTGAGTTTCAAGTTCTTCTTCTTCTGATGATGTATTATCAGCAAGTTTTGTTTGTTGTTGAGCTCGTAATTGTGCTGGATTATGATAATGATGATGTTGATAATCACTTTTTGATTCATTTGATATTGGTTTTTGTTCTCGTTTAGGAAGAATTTCTGGTTGTTCAGGTAAACGTTTTTTAACAGGTAATGAAAGTGCTGGTTGTTGATTTGATCGTAATGATTGAATCGATTCCGAAAGAGATTTATGTGAACCAAATGGTGTATTTGTTCGTGAACGATTTGTTGTTAATGGTATTGCATTAATACTTGTGCTTACTTCATCAGCATCTTCTTCTTCAGGTGAATAAGGTCGTGATGGCATCGATGGACGAAAACCAGGCAGAGCACTTGCTTGACGATAAGAAAATGAAACTGATGTTGAAGGTGCTTGTCGATATGAAGAGTGAGTACTTGTCATTGGTGATGGACGAGCAGGTATAGGTGGTGGTACTTGAATAGAATTTGTTTCAGCTGATTCAACTAAATGAGATGTTGATGATGAATCAGCTTTTAATGATTCATGTTTATATTTTGAATAATCAATAGGTAAACCACCCCAACGAGATTTTCCTTGTTTACTAAAATAAATTACATTAAAACAATTATTTTTACAAAAAAAAATCAACTAACTCATTCGATAATTTTTCAACTAGAATAAAAAAATAAAAAATGTGAATAAAAATAATTAATATTGTAAAAATACATACCACTTATTGATTGTTTTTTATCTGGATCAGATTTTTGTCGTTTTAGATAAATAAATAAAGCGATTACGATAGCAATAATAAGTAGAATTAAAATACTTCCAATACTTATTCCAATAATCATTGGAACTTTGTATGATTCTTAAAAAAGAAAAAATTAATTACGAATTTTTTAGAAGAAAATCATACTTTCACGACTTCCGGCTATATCTGAATTTGTTTTCATTGCATTTGATTGTGCTTAAAAAGAAAAATAAACAATTTAATTATAAGAATAAGTAATTACATATGTTATGTAAGCGAATAAACATGTTGAATAATATTGTTAAATGTCCATGATGATTATTATCTATTTTTAGTCTTTAGATAAATGTGTTACGGCACTTTGTTGACAGGTGAATGGAAGAAAAAAAACTAATTAATTTTAAATGAATTCACATTCTTTTTCAGGCTATTTATAAGAAAAGTTTTAAAACAGACATAAATGAATAATTAGTTATAATTGATTCATTTTGAATAGTAAAACAAGATGAAATCAAGAATAGTATGATTGAAAACTTCTTTATCTATCTACAAGCACGTCTGCAGAAACGTTTTCAGGGGAGAGCGACTGACGACTTGGCAGGAAAGTCCAACACAGAAAAAGATTATTCCACATTTCTAAAAATTGTTCGCCCTGTACCCCAGGAGGGGAAGGATTGATTCCCGTCTGGGAACGTCTCTGCCTATCTATTCATAATAGTAACTTACGATGAACAGTAATCATAAAATCTTGTTTAACAGTTTTTCCTCTTGATTGTGCTTGACATTGCATTGCATATTGTTCTGGATACTGATAAATTCTTTGAATTTGTCTTGTTGTACCAAATACATTTTGTCCAACAGGTGGTATTTGTTGATAGGAATTTTGTTGACCATAATCTGACATTATTATTCCTGTTGATACATTATTTAATGTTTCATACCAAACATAGGATGGAGTTGGATTTGCTTCAATTTGACAATCCATTGCAATCATTTTCAATGCTTCACTTTCTAAAGTAATTGTTGGTAATGCACCTGTTTCTAAATTAGGTCCATCTAAAATCAAATAAAAAGTAAAGATTTTTGGTTTTTTTAACTAAAAATTTCAATCATACATTCAATATCAATTGGGATAGATTTTATAAGATAAACATCGATATTATTATTTGATTCAACTTGACATTGAATTGTTCCATTATGATCAGCACGTGTTAATGGACGTTGTAATGTAATTGTACGTGTAAAATTTTGTTCATATAATGTATCATTATAAATTTTATTATTTGATAATAATGGTGATGATGATGATTGTCGAGTTGAAAGAAATAAATCTAAACGAGGTAAATTTTCAGTACCTTGTGATTTTGAAGATGATTCGGATAATTTAAATGTTGAACGTATAATTGATACTGAACAAGACACAAGTGATGAACCATTATTATCTTCACTAACATGAGAATTATGAATTTGAAGTGATGAAACTAAAGAATAAAATATTAAAAGAATTATTTTACTTTATTTTATTTTATTTACCATTAATAGCACTAAGTATATTATTAAATGTTTTCCAATGTGCATCAACTGCTGAATAATAACCAACTGTTGTTGAATCAAGTGAAAGAATCGTTAAACGATTATTTTGTTCATCATAATTAAATTTTGATTTATTCGAAAATCCAACACCCATTATATACAATGAAAAACCATTTAAACCTAAATAAGTTACTTTTATTGATGGTGGAGCAACTTGAAATGTAAATGATTCAGATAAATTTCCAACTAAATAATTATCATTTGAACTTGATGCTGGTGAAGGTATTTGAACATTTGATGATGGATTTTGTTGTTGTTGTTGTGGAACATCACCGACAATAGGAGAACCATATTGCCCGAGAGGAGATAACGGTATCTGACACATTACATACCATGGTAGCACCACAAAATAAACTAAACAAAATATCTCAATACTAGGTGTTATTTTCTAATAAAACGAGGTCGCTTTAATCTGAATCACATTCTTAGTGTTCTAATAATAATAATCAAGCTACTGTTCGTTTCTACTACTATAAGTCATTTGTTTAAAAATAGAACTATGATTTTCAATAAAAAATTCTTCTTCTGTGATAATCCGAAGCAAATAGATTAACACTATATGTTAATACTACTACTACTAAAAACTTCTTACCGATAATAATATTAAATTGCATTGTGTGAAGTTAATTACAAGATATAATCCATGAACAAAAAAAAATAATTTTAACAACACCAATAACAACAAGAAAAAAATGTTATCTGCAAGTGAAATGAAATAAATTGCATTAATACTGAAAGCAAAACATATTTCCATATAAATTTATTGTTTTCATTAATATTATTTTCTGGCCAAATAGAAAAAAAAAAAGAAAGAAAAGTGATAGAGAGGAGGAAAAAAAGAAAAATAACCAACAACATCAACAAGAAGTACGACAATGAAAGAAAGAAAGATAGATTTGTATATTTGAGTGACAAACATAGACAGATTTAGGTTTTTCACTGTTTTTCTCTTTTCGAATAATATATATATATATATACATAGAAAAAAAAGGTCAGTCGAAATTACATGAAATGAATAGCTTTGTTGTCAGATCATACCACCGATATTAAACAAGAGAAAATAGGCAAGGGATGACTAGAAAATGAAATAGAGCGAAAGAAATTCAGTCTTTATTCATTGTTGAGTGGCATTTGGTGCTGTTGTCGCTGCAGTTGGTCCATTTTCAGTAGGCATCAATAATCGTCCAATTTTCTTCGATGAATGAAGTGTTAATGTCGATTTATTCAATGCATCATTCAATGCCATACGCCATTCATGAAACGAGACGACATCCTAGAAATGTTCGTTTGTGTTTTTTTTTTCTGTTTTCTATACGACGAAAATTTCTTTTTTTCTGTTCAAAGAAATGAAAAGAAAAGAAGCGAGAAGAAACGAAAAAACAAAAATGATAAAGAAAAGAAGAAATGTTCAAAATGACAACAAAAGCAGTAACAGCAATAGCGCAGCAATCGCACGACTAGAAACAAATAAAAGAAAGATAGAATACAACAAATCACTGTTTTTCAATGAGAAAGAGAGAAAAAAAAGAAGAAGAATGAAAAAAAACAACACGTTTTTTTTTCCTTAGTCAAATTTGTTTTTGTCAAATTTTAATCTTGAAGTGTGCCTGTAGTCATATTAGTTTTCTTTATTCCACCAGAAGCACCACCGGATGATGATGAATTATGATAATTACCAGACGATGATTGTTGATTGGAATTCATATTTGAAGATGCTGTACTACTTACATCAGCTCCATAGATTTTCGATGCTTTTTCACTAACAGTTAAATGTTGTTGTGATGCAACAAGTGTATCATATAACGCTTTTTTCCATTCAATCCATGATACTTCATCCTATGGAACATTTAGAAATATTCTCTCTTCCCCCAGAAAAAGAAAAGTTAACAATATACAAGTGTAAAAAAACTAGATACATGCGTTTATATATATATATAGATATAGATACGATATTTACAAAAGACAAGAGAAGCAAACTAACATGCTTGAATATTGACACAATTAATAACAATAGCAATAAATAAGGTGATAGACAACACAAAGATATATCATATATAGAGATAAAATAAAATTTTACCTGTGGTGAAAGCATTAAACGTGGTTCATTTCCACCTTTTAAATGTATTGTGATTGTTTTTTGTCCTTTAACTTCTTTTGAATCAATATGTTCAATTCGTTCCATTGTATAGACCTTTAAATAGAAATTGAATTTTAATGAATTATATAACTCATTGACATTATCTATTATGTAATAATAATAATATCTGAATATGTTGATTGAATTTGTTGTTAATAGAAGGAGAGAGAGAGAAAAAAAAAGACAGCTGGAAAATATGTGTAATCTTGAACTTCGAGAATAAGATAAATGGAAATTATTTATGATATGTTCTCATGCAATATAATCATAAATATATGGTTACATATTAACCTTGACGACTTTTACGTTCTCATTCTATTCTTCTGTTATGTCATAATACTATGTCTAATTAATAGTGAATTGTTCAAGGAATGAATGAATGAATGTAAATCATAATTTCTTTTTTTTAATAAACTCTATTGATCGAACGTGCGCTTCCCGAGATAGAATGATTCATTAAAAGTACTTCAACGGCTTGTTTTTTTTCTAATTACCTCCGGATCTTTATCACCCTTTTCATAATGTAATTCAAGACGATTTGGATATAATTTTGTATAACGTATTTGCCATGAGAATCCAAATGTTCCTGTATTCTTTTTTAATTGTCCTTGTAAAATTAGATCAGATGTTTTTTCATCATCATAGATATTATTTTGTTTAAATTTAGCTCGTCGTTTTTGTTCGATTTTATCTGTCTCTTGATTGACTGTATCAAAAACTGTTTCAGTTATTTCTTGTTGCCATCGTTCAGATATAACAATTGGAAAATTTTTATACAATTCTTGATCAGATTCTGTTAGCTAAAAATAATCGAATTGAATTAAATTAAATAAAACAAAGATTTTAAATTTGTAAATTACTTTAATTCCTTTTGTATCATCTTCATCAAAATTTCCAATATCAAATGCATCAGCTGCGTTTACTTCACCACGTGGAGGAATTAATGGTGGTGTTAATTTTAATAAATAAACTTGTTTCCAATCAACATCTTTAAAAAATGGATGTTCTTTTACTTCTTCAGCTCTAGAATAAAAAAAAAAGAATAAATTGTAAAGAAAATTAAATTATTGAAAATATATTTACATTCTTCCCATACAACCAAGACGTTTATCAACATCACGTTGAAGTAATCCTTCTAATAATGTGCGCATTTCATTTGTCATTGTTTCAGGTAATTCAATGGACTAAATTTTTGAATGAAATTAATAATATTAATAAAAAGAAAATTCTATTTTTTTTTTACCATTGTCATGGTCATTTTATCTATTTCATGTTTGTCTTTTGTTTTATGTTGACGAAATGGACTATGCCTAAAATGAAATATATATTCTAAAATTAGATCATCATGTTTTAATTAATTTCTATCACAATCAACATGCAAGTCCTATAATAAGAATCCAGGCATCTGCCGTGTAGAAACTTATAATTTATTTTACAAAAGATAATACAGATATTTATATTAAACCTTTCGTCTACATAACACAAGCATGATTCCTAACAAATACTTATGACTCGATACAATTAGTTGAGATTGAAAGTCTTCGTCTCGATTGAATATGAACTTTTTAATTCTTCATCGTATTATGTATTACGTTATGACTCCTCCTTAGACAAGCGATTCAAATCGTCTAAATTTTTCAGGATATGTTGGAGAAACTATGGGAAAAATTATGAGCTCTATATCATTCTATCCGAACTCGTACTATATATTTAAATTCTTTGTTTTTGTTTGAAAGAGTGTGTCAGGATGTAATTTAGTACAGAACTTTTTGTTTTCCTAATTGTTACTTTTCAAGGAGAAGAAAAGGATGAAAGTTTCATAAGATAGATGTTAGTGTGTACGTATAGTAAATAAAAAAAAAAGATTAATTAAACATACCCTTTAAGTAATTTATAAAGCATACATCCAAATGAAAACCAATCTGCACTTGAATCATAAGCAACACCTTTAGCTAACACTTCTGGTGCCATATATCCATGTGTACCAACACTTGCATGTGGTTTTTTCTTGGAAAAATCGCAAGCTAAACCCAAATCTGATATACGAACATGACCATGTTCATCAAGTAAAATATTTGCAGGCTAAAAAGAAGAATTTAGAATTTTATTATATATATATATGATAAATGTTTTCTCTTACTTTAAGATCTCGATAAACAATTGATCTAAGATGCATATGTTCTAAACCTAAAATAATTTCTGCTGCATAAAATTTCACTTCTTTCTCTGAAAAAACTCCATGTTGAGATAAATGATAATGAAGATCACCACCTAATTTACAAAAAATATCATATAGAAATTATTTACAAAACAAAAAACAATATTTTTACCATTCATAAGATCAAGAATAAAACAAAGTTTATCTGCTGTATGAAATGCATAAGTCATACAGACAATAAATGGACAACCTTCCTCCTTAAAAAACAATTTTTATCATTTAGAATAAAACGAATAATTCATGTATACATACTCCTGTGCTGACGAGTGACAGCATAATACGTTCATTCAATGCTAATGTTTCACCTTGTTTCATTTTAATACGTTTTTTATCAAGACATTTCATTGCATACCTAAGAAGAAGAAAAAATAATAATAATAGAAATCAATAGTCAATTAAATTACATTTTTCCAGTATCTGCTTTTCTACAACCGTATACTTCTCCAAACCCACCACGACCAATAATTCTGTGTACACTAAAATCATTCATTGTTAACTAAAAAAATGAATTAAAAATAAAAATAAAATTTTTTATAAAAAAAAACCTGAATATTAAGTTCAAAATTTTTCCATTGACAAAATCTGGTATATTTTTCTGATTCCATAAATTTATCAAATATTCTTCCGCGTAATAAATCACATATTTCTTTTTTATATGGTTCAAATAAATTTGATGGTAAAACATTTTTTGGATTATTTGGATTATATTTTGATAAATGTTTTTTAACACTTTCAACTGCTCGTTCAGTATATGTCTTAAAATAGATGAAAAGAATAAAAAATGATTGAATAAAAAAAATATCAAATAAATTTTACATGGGAATTTGAGAGTAATTCTTTCATTATAAATTGATCATAGATTTCTTTTCCAACTCTCCATCGTTCTTCATCAGTTTCAAGTTTTTCAAATCGTTTTATCTAAATAGTTTTGTATTTTTGTAAAATCGAAATTTTATATAACAATTAAATTACCTCTTCATAGAATTTTAATTGAGGCACAGGTTCATCACATAATGTGGAACAAAATTCTTTGAAAAGAAGAAATCCTAGAAGAAGAAGAAAAAATAGGAATAATAATCTGTTGTTTTTCAATTGATCTTATAAAAACCGTTTGCATGTTAACCATTTACTGCTTACAAAGTGATTCCCCTCAGGAATTTGACGCGCATGCGTTTAGGCAAAAGAGAAAAGAATAAAAAATCATTCTCAGCAACACTATAACCACCTGAGAGAAAAGAAGACCGGAGGGGTTACAATAGATGACACTCTTATGCTCTCTTCACTCATCGAAGGAAGAGAGAGGAAGAGGAAACTGTTTGCAGAAAGGAAAAAGAGATCAATGTCTTTTAACTATCCCACAGATTGATTTACAGAACAAAGTGAAAACGAGAACAAATATTCAAGCTATATTATACAATTATCTTATTACTCTTGTCTTATATTTTGTTATTCAACGAATAAAAAAACAATTAAATTAGACAAATAGTATAAGAATTATTTCTAATATTGATGGACCGTATCAAATATTTCTTATTCAAATAATTCAATATTTAATAAAAAAAAAAACACGCAAGCCAAGGAAAAGCCTCTAGTCGATCTATATCTATCTTAACAGATCATGATAAATGTAAAAACAATTAAAATAATTAGACAACATAACATATTAAGATAATCCTTGACAACATACCGATTTGTTGATTAAATATTTTGTCAAATGTATTTTCATACATTTTTTGTAAATGTTTATGTGTAACACTTCGTACTCTATTTAATAAACTTTATATTTGTAAAAAAAAAAAGTTTCATTAATTAACATACGTTCGATCGGGTAGAACAATTTTTTTACTAGCTGAAGCTGCTGGTGTAGATTTGGATTTTTCCATAGCCATTAAATAGGAAACATCGGCTAATACAGCCTCAAGATCTGCCATAATTAAGAATTTATTTTTGTTTTGTATTTAATTGACAAAAAACAAGTAAGTAACGTTTCTTTTTTGTTAATATAATTCTCTTGTATTTGTTTTTATTTAATTCATTCTCTTGAAAGAATTGTTCATCCTACATAGAGATTGTTTAATTATTTTCATAACTTTGATTCGTTGATAATATTAAGAATTTATTTATGAATAAAAAAGATTTCATTAGATAATCTAGAAGAAGAAGAAGAGAAAAAAAATAAACAAACAAAATTTTTTTTTTGTTTTGTCAATGTTCTTTGTCTCGGATAATCATTTGTTGTCTAGATGTCTTGATGATTTTTCGGCTGACTGAATGCCATTAAGGAAAATTTATGACCTCAATTGAAATTTTAATTTTGTTTATCAAAATAAAATTGATTTTAGTTTTGAAATTTATTTTAAACGAAAAATCATTTAGTTATTATAAAAAAATATATCAATTAACATTCTGTTTTTTTATGATAGATGGCAGTAGGAATTTTTATTTACTTGTTTCGAGATATATACATATACGTAGAATTTATTTGCAAGTAAATTTTTTGATAATACTAAAGAAAAAAAAATAAATTCCTTTTTTTATTGATTGAATTTAAAAATATTGCGTCATTAACAAACATTTAAGAATAATACAAAAATGGAAAAAGAAATTCTCTTCCTGTTAGGATATAGTTTGTACTAATTAATCTCTTTCATAAAAAAATAAGTAGGCGTTTACCTTTACGAGAAGGAACTATTGGTTGAACTTTTTTTTTGTTAATTTTGATTTTTAAAAAAGTATACGAGATCTAAAAGAAGTAATTTGACGAGAGCATTGATTGTATTTTTATATGATAGAAAGCAAGTGTTTGAAATATAATAGTATTTTTCAGATGATTTCTAATCAATTTTTACGATCTTCATCAACTATGAGTCTTGTTTGTTATCGTCAAGTTAGTATTATTTAATCTATTTCATTATAAAATCTATATTCTTGATATTTTAGTTTGCTCCTCTTTTAACTCGTTTCGGTTCGACATTATCTAAAGAGACTTCATCAAAACAAGGTAAATTAGTTCATTATTTTATTAACTAATCATTCTTATTTTTAAAGATAAATCAACAACGAAAGACAAATCCGGAAAATCATGGGTTGAATATAAAGCCGATGATATGTACGATTATACAACATTTAGTTATTATGATCTTGAAGCATCAATGACTAAATATCGACTTCCACAACCTTCACCCTATACACCATTTAAAGCTGACTCGGCTACACAAAAGAAATAAACATTGTATTTGTTTGTTCATTTATAAAAGAAAAAAGCGAAACTAATTTTTTTTCTCTTCTCCTTAGAAAAGTAAATAAAAACTTTCCCATATTTGCAGATGTTTCTATTCATACTAGTTTTTATAATATGTTTGATATTTATTCTTGCACCATTTATTTTAATTCGTTTTATTACTTCGACAAATACGGATAAGAATGGAAATTATCTTCTAGTTATAGCTCATCCAGATGATGAATGTTTATTTTTTGCACCTACTTTATTATCTCTTCATTCAAATACATATGTTCTATGTCTTTCAAATGGAAATAATCATCGATCGGATGAATTACGTCGTTCATGTCATCAACTTCGTGTAAAAGATTTCAAAATAATTGATGATCAAATAAATTTAAAAGATAGTCAAACAGTATCCTGGTCTTCCGATGCAATATTAGGTCATGTTAAAAATTCTGTACGTCAATGGAATATATCAACAATAATTTCATTTGATCAATATGGTGTTAGTGGTCATCGGAATCATTCATCAATTTATTATGCTTTATTAAAATTTTCTTCAACTAGTCAAATACATTTCCTTTCACTACAATCAATTCCAATCTATCGAAAATATTTAACTTTAATTGAATTACTTAGAATTTATTTTATGTCAAATACCGTCAAAACAAAAATATTTATTTTACCAAGTAAAGATAATTTAATACCATATAAAGCTATGTTTGAACATCGTTCTCAACTGGTTTGGTTTCGTTATTTATATTTACTTTTTTCACGTTATATTTGGATTAATGATTATAAAATAATTTATTAACTAAATGAGCCTTTTCGGTTTTTCCTTCGATTTACGCAAGACGAAATTTTTGATTCTATTCAACTTGATGGCAATTATTAAACTAATATTGTTCATTCAATGGAGATATGAAAAGATTTCAATTTTTGTAAAAAAAAATTAACTTTTTTGTTTTCTTTCCTCTTATCATTATTCATGTTTTTCTAATATAACCTTGATACGTACTTATTATTCTCATTTGACACTTAATACTTACTATAGAAAAATAAATATTAATAGTTATTTTTTTAAACTATTCTATTAAATCTTTCTCATATTACACACATGATTTTCTATTTAATTAATTCTATAGCAAAATATTTATTGATTTATAAAAAAAAATAATCTTTCCAATTAGGTTTTTTTATGATAATTATGAAAATGTATTATTAGGTTGATGTACTGCACATCACCTACTCGTCGTTTAAATAATATTTTGTTTAAATCATCAGTCGAAAATAAACAAATATAAAAGCAGTGAAAGAAAGGAGGAAAAAAATAACGGATAATATTTACGGATGAAAGCTTTCGTCGTTTTTCTCATCATGATTATGCATTTCAACATTACCTTATACTTATATGTTGATGTAAATATAAAAAAATAAACGTACTTCGCGTATTTTATGATATCAAGGTGAGAAACAATTCAATGACGAATATTGATAACGAACAAAAAAGTACTAAGAATACAACAAAAGTGGTAATTATCACATCAGTAGATGATGATAACGATAATATTCTTTCATGTTTAAATCCATCAAATATTGAAACATTTGTTGTTGATTTAAATCATACAGATCTAGTCAATGTTTATGAAAATCATAATAAAAATAAAAAACGAACTTTATCTCAAACGGTAAGAAAATCTTTTTCTAGAAAATAAAATAATAATTTATCAGTTTTTGTTTATATAGGAACATGATTCATTAATTGATATGAATAAAAATATGAATATGAAAAAGCGTAAAGCTGATTTAACATGCGTTGTTTGTGGTGGACAAGCTATTGGTTATAATTTCGCACAAATTACATGTGAATCTTGCAAAGGTTTTTTAAAAAGAAATTTCTTAAATAATTTCCAATATTTCTCTTCTTTTTCTTTTAGCATTTTTTCGTCGAAATGCTTTACATCCAATCGTAAATAAATATTTTTTAAAAATACATTCAAATATTATAATCTATAATTATAGGAAAAAACTAAATGTACTCAAAATCAAACTAATTTTAATAAAATACATTGCGATGTTCAGTTTAATGTTAAACGTAAATGTCAACGTTGTCGATTATTGAAATGTTTTCAACAAGGTATTGAAAATTTCTAATGTATCGTAGGAACTAAAGTTTTCATGCTGATTAAATATGTATTGAGAATGAAATTTCAGACTTTTATTCTACATCAGGAAAATAATATCAAATGACAAAAAGATAAAACATACCGAGTTTTATTTGAAGTTGATAAATTTACAGTATAAATAATTTTCTTTCAAAATAAGACAACGTTCCTAACTGAAATTTGATCTTTTAAATATTTAGGTATGCGTAAAGATTTTATTTTAACTGCTGAAGAAAAAAAATATAAACAAGAACGTTTGGAAGAAAATCGTCGTTTACGTACTACATTCGTTAATGATGATAATAATATTGAAAGTCAAGAAGAAATCAAACCTACAATAATACATCAAAAATCTGAACCAGTAAAAAATATTTATATTTGAGAAATTTTAATATAAAAACTTTGTTTTTTATAGATTGTTAATAATTCATCATATCCATCATTGCTTAGTGAATCTGACCGGGCATGTTTATTACATATTCAAAGTGCATATTTGTCTGCATCACAATCAACTCCACATGCATCATCTGTTATTTCATTAGAATTAGCGCCTGATAAAATCTCAGCATTTATGAGTACATTTGATATACAAAATCTTGCTGCAGTTAAATTAATTAATTTTATAAGAGAAATTCCGGAATTTGAACAACTTGATGAACATGATCGTTTAATACTTGTTAAATATAATTTAACATTACTTTTTCTTATACGTCATTCATTAACATTTGATTCTGTACGTGAATTATGCTATGATCTTGATACAACTGATACGATTTCACCAACAGATGAAGCATTTGCTTTACAATGTAAAAGTTTATTTATTCTTTGTTATGGTTATGAATTTAATCAAGCTGTTATAGCTATTCTTCATGTTCTTGTCAATATAGTTAATAAAGATCCAATAATAGTTCAGTTATTAATGCTTATTATGATTTTTTCCAAAGGTTTATCAGCTGATAATGAACGAGAACCAATTTTAAATGATGAACAACGTGTATATCATGCACAAGCAAAATATACTGATTTATTAGTTCGATATTTATTGCAAAAATCATCATATGAAAATGTTACTACTAAAATGACACGTATTACTGAACAATTATTAAAAATACAAAAACTTTTAAGAGATTTTCATCAATATATAAAGAGTAAAGTTGATTTAAATCATATTAATCCATTAATGAGATCACTTTTTCAACTAACTTAATGTTTTTTTGTTGTTCTTATACATATACATTCATAGAGTGATAAAATTGAAACAATACTTTGTTTTTCTTTTTCAATTATATTGTACCTGGCTATTTTTTTCATAGATCGGTATTGTGATAAAGATAATCAAAGATTGTTCGAGTAAATAAAAGGAATTTTAAAGACTTGAATAAGTATGATAGTTTCTTATTTACAACTTGTAATATGCTTACGTTTATTTCATTCTAAGATTTATTATTCCTGTCGTCGAAATCAATTAACAAAGACAATAAGTCAAATGATTTCTTATTATTTGCAGTTTTAAGAATGTTTGTTTCAGTTATAAATGTTGCCTTTGAATAGATCTGATGTATATTCCAATACTACAAATATGGCACTCATCAATCTAATATTAGGTAGTAGGATGTGGATATAGAACGCAATGCGAGTTTGAATGCTCTTTCCATATGCACTCGTGCCTACATCTAGCATTTTAGAATAGAAAAAAGAGTATGTTCTCGTTTTCAACAATAAACAATTCTGAAGGAGAGGAATGCTGGTATTCTATAAAGTGAAGTAAATCTTATATTTGCATTTGCGAGGTATTCGAATTGCAAAATTTTGTAGTTATCATTTTTACAGCAATGCCAGAAGATGTAGCATATGCGTGGATGCAGCTAGTGTGGGATGATTTTAGTAATAGTGAAATTGTGGATGGCTCAAATTATGAAAGATATATACTCATCTTTAACACTTGGACACATGTTGACCTCCACTCACTCATTCACATTCGACACTTCTCTCACATCTCCCACTCTGTACTCATTTACCATCCTCGGTCCCCTGGATATATGATGACGTAACCTATAAAGTGTCCTATAAAATTCCTTATAATCTATAGAACTCTAATCATCAGGCAGTTTTCAAGAAGCTGTATATTTGATAGCCCAAAAATTAAACAAAAACCATTACTTACGAGTTTTAACAATTCAAAAACAAATGGATGCGGGAATAAGAGTTCACTCTAATGATCTGAAATGTATACATTGGCAATATATGGAATAGATGTTTAACACACACTCATCTTCTATCTTTAACTAATCTAGGCAATAGTTTCTTATGTAGAATTTTATTTTAAGAAAACATATTATGAGAAGCAACTTGTCGAGTTCGATAAACTAGTATATATTCCATTTAAACTACTATTCTCATTAGCGAACTTGCTCTCATTAATCTCAGTAAACACCTCTTATTTGAATGAGAACGAATGTGAATTATTTTCTCATGGAACGAAAGAGAAAGAGAGAAATGTTTTGATTGGTTAATAATAAATCGCTGCTAATATAGCTTCTTTTATATCCTTCCTTCCTTATGTACATTATTGGTCGTATACAATGATTAACTGCTTGTCTATAATTGATTTATTTTCCATATTTAACATAACATAAAGAACAAAAAAAAAGGTAATTTGGCATCTATGATACATATTTTATATCTTATAGAACCATAACGAGAACATAAAAATATGATCCATAACTTTGTATTGATGTAAAATCACATGATCGTGTTATTTGTTTAGATAAGCAAGTATCCCTACTGTTTTTCTCTTCTTTTTTT